TCATTGTAGTTGTCTGTGGTTTGGCTAGGAAATACTGGGCATGATCCATTGTTGTTTACAAATACTGAGCCGAAGAATGTGTTAAAGATGTTGGCTTTAATGATGTCGTCGTTGCAGTCTTTACCATTAGGTCCTTTCAGGGGTGGGATGGACCTTGAGTCTTTTAGTTTGTTGTTTACAAAATTGTAAAAAGCACGGGTGGAATTGCTGCATAGAAGGTTTTCCTCTTGTTTAATGTGATAATTGGTGCATTCAGTCTTTATCTGGTGCCATAAATTTTTGTATCGGCTTTTGAAATTGGCAATGTGACCAGATTTGTTTTTCCGCCAGAGTGATCTCTTTTTGGATTGAAGTTTCCTTATTGTTATGGGTAATCTGGTTTTTTTTTGGGGGGGGGGGGAGTTGTTGTTGGTACATATAGTTTGATGATCCTTTTGACTTCAAGTAAAAATATGTTGTTATGGTCTTCAACAGTATTGCATCCAGTGAATAGGAAAAGGTTAATTGTTTTACTAGCAGCTGTGATTTACTGGGTGGGAGGAATTTATTGCTCTGATTGCTGCTGCTATTACTCTGTAAACAATAGGCTGTAACAAGATGTTCAAAGCACGCTGGATTTTTGAAAGACAGCAAAACTCGCTGAATTAAAACACTTTAACTACAATCAATATGTCTCTGAGTAAGATTGTTTTCCAACAGTTTCCTAAAGTTCTTCAAGTTGAGTAGTAGTAAAAATACAGTTCAGAAATTTGGGTTAACTAATGCAATCTGTCCTTTACTTTTAAAGTTACTTCTAGTTGCAATATCTTTTTTTTTTTTTAACTAAATCTGACAGTCACTCCAGATCGTTAATCGCAGCTATTTTCCTCCTTTGAGTCCCACTTTCCAAGAAAAATTCCACTGCAGAAATTGGAGTGATTCTTACCAAGACTAAGCACGCTGTTACAAGATCTTTCCTTTCTTTTTCACTTCTGTCTCAGCTGCCTTCCTGGCTTTGATGTAGCCATGCCGGCAGTTCTCTTTTTAGTTCGGATGGAGGGATTTTCTTCGGGTCAGTCGAGGAGACTCTCCTCTCCTCGCGACCACCGAAGCATTCCTCTGCCTTTACCACCCGTCCAGGGTGACTTTCGGCTCCTAAGAGCCTCAGGGCTTTCTCCTCCCTGCCAGCTGTCCGATGTGGCTCCGCGGAAAATGTGTGGGGGTTATTAATGGAAACACGTTGTCTGGAGTGGAAGATACTTCTATCAGCTGTGTGAGGGATTTAAATGAAGGTACGTTTGCACTCCGCTGGCTCCAAGTGATCCAGTTCAAGAGCTCCACCAGTGTGGTTAATAGGGCTCAATGAAAAGAGCTTCACTTCTCTGGGGAAGAGAGGAGGGCTCCGGATCAGTTAGCAGGAGCTCCGCCAGCATTATTAGGGTTCCACGGCTTCAGAATCTAGCGTTTTGGGGCTTGTTTTTTGGGCTCTGGTTTACTCATGGTTACTGGTGCAGGCGGCAGCTTTAAAAGTTCAGGCAATTCAACAGGGCATAGTTAAAACAAACCTACCTTAATACTCATAATACTCATTACATTTATATTTTTATTATAAAAGTGGCCTGAAAAAGGTTGGATCTCTCTTAATGATCTTCTACCCCTTACTTCTCGTCCTGACCTCAGGTATTTGCGAGTACGTTGACCTCTTCTTCTCTATGACAGGCCCTCAAATACTGGAAGACAGTTATCATATCACCCCCTAGTCCTTCTATTTGTCAGACGAGACATACCTAATTCCCTGAATTGTTCATCCTATGGTTTAGCCTCCAGAAACCTAAACATCTTTGATGCTCTTGTCTGCACTCTTCTCTGCACCAGATACCACCTATTCTGTATCTGTGCATTTGATTTTTCTTGCCTATATATAGGACCTTACTTTTCTCATCACTGAATTGCATTTTGGAATATAAATGCACATGAGTATGCTCACTCAAGATCCTTCTGAATTTTGAGTTTATCATCTAAAATGTTGGTTATTCCCCCAGCGTGGTGTCATCTGCTAATCTGATGAGTTCCCCTTTTATCCCCTCATCTAGTTCTAGATAATTTATGGAGATGTTGAAGAGTATGAGCCTAAGGCAAAACCCCACTACATGCTTCCCTCCATGTAAATGTGGATTATTAGGTTAGTAAAGGACAGCATTTGTTTTAAGTAGAACATATAGAAGATAGGCCCCAAGAATTAGAAGTGCTTTCCTACTCATTATTATTCTCTCTCACCTAGGCTTATTCATGAGACCTTAAGTGAGCTCTGATACCTGAACTGCAGATTCCAATTCTTTCATTCTGCGAAGTACATCCATGTTTATGAACATAATCATATGAATTACTATTCCTATAACTTCATATCATGGTCAGCTGTCTAGGGTTTGTGAAAGTTTAACCCACTGGGTTAAATTAGAGGATTTAATAAGAGATTGTGATTTGGTTATATAATAAGGTATTTTAGGACTGTTAGCTACTTAAGAATTTTTAAATGAAGTTATCTAATTACTCTAATCCACATTCATTTAGAGTTTTGAAGCAGGACTAAGAAGAATAAGGTTCAATCGAAACTCAGCTATGAAATACATAGGTTCATTCTGGGTAGGACCACTCTTACCTAACTGATTCATAAGCTGTTTGTAACATATAGGAGAAAGGGAAGAATCATGAATACTCCTTTAAATTGTTGGAGACAAAAAAAGTAAATGTAAACAAATGTTATATTTAAGTAAATTTAAAGAAGTCTACTAAAAACACCCCTCTGGATTCTACATAGACAACACAAACTTTGTACAAAAAATAACGGATACAAGTTTGACATCAGGATTCAAAACAAGGTCAAAGTAATGCCAAAACATTTCAACCTCCCAGGCCACTGTTTTGCAGATTTCAAAATAATCAGTTTAGGGGGAAAGGAGATTTGAAAACCATTGAGCAAGAGACTGCTGAACTTTATCTCAAAATGTCTCAACAAGTACAATGAGTTTTTAACACATTACAATTGTTAATTGATAAGGTACTTCTAATCTGCACCATATGGAACCTGTATTTGCATAACCAACCTTCCTCCTCCCTCCCTCCCACCTACCCCCAATTTAGATGCTATATCAGTCAAGCCATTCTTTACATCTTGTGAAATCAGCTACAGCCCATGGAAGCTTATTATGCCTTTCAATCAGATTCCTCCTGATGATGTATCACCATAATTTAACACAGCTCTCCTACATTTTAATGCATTTGGATGTTTATTTATTTATTTATTTATTTACTTCTTCACAAGAAAATGCCAAATAAATTATCAGTTAATAAAAGTTATGCCTAATCAGGCTCAGTCTAGCCAAGGTTAATATTTTGAGAGTTCACTGATTTTCAGTAAAAATTAAACAGACATTTAATATATCCAATGAAATCAGTGGGACTAAATAGAGGTGTTTTGTCACAAAGGCAATATTTAGCGGTCTTTTTTCCATTCCTCTTTATAATTAAAGTCAAAGAACCAAAACAGCTTTCCCAGAAGTCAACCCTTTTAACCTAATTATACCATAATGATTAAAATTAATCATCAAAGATTAATTAATTAAAGGTTTAATTGGTTCGGTGTTATAGTGACCATTGAAGAAAGACAAAAGCCAGATAACGTCCAGATAAATGTATCTGGGTACAAAGATGACTAAATAGGAAAATCACGAGTGCTCTCTCAGTCTTTCCAGCTATTTTGAATAGCTAGTATGCTATATTGTGATTATGGTGTTCGACAGACATTGGGAGACATGAGTTCAATCAAGAATTATTGCTGGAGAAAAATATGGTAGAGAGAGAGAACAAAAATTACGTGTATTGTCTGTAGCTACAAAAGGCAGAACACAAATGTAACGAAGAAAATAATAAATTTCAGTTTGATTTGTCAGAGTTTCTGACAATCCAACAATTAAATGTAAATATAATTGCTGGCATTAATAACATAGCTATGGATGTTCATTGACTGACTTTGGGCAAACACTATAACTCCATCAACTCTATATTGTCCAATCATTCTTATGGGAGAAAAATGAAAGAAGGAGTACTGTGTCTGAACTCTGGAACGCCTGGAGAAATTGTAGGATAGAAACTTTAGAAATAAACTTTAACAAACAGCAATCAATTTAAATGAGCTAAGCAAATTGATGCTATGAGCCAGATAGAATTCAGCTCCAAAGACAAGCTGATGCTTGCATGACTGATAATATTATAATGATATAATACAATAATAAAACTTTTCTTGCCAGATGGCACTCCAGGTGTGTTTTTAACAAACACAGTAAGATAAAACCATTTTAACAATTTGGCAATAATTATTTAAAAAGAAAGGAAGTCCAGAAATATTGAAACATTTCATTAAAAAACTACTAACTGTATTGAAAAGTTCTGATCACTGTTTAGGGCATTTCTTTGTATACTTTCCTTTTCCTTTTAATTTATATTTTTACTGTGTTCTAGGTTGTCTACAGCAGGGGTCACCAAGCTTTTGGACCTCAGGGACCACCAAATTCATAATTTTAAATCCCACGGACCAGAAACCCTGGGAAAATCCCCAAAAAAGTCTGCAGGGAAATTCCCCACCGCGTTTTCCTACTGATCGATCATTCTTTATTTGGGATCACAGGATACTGTCTCCATTTCCATTCTCGGGGGGGGGGGGGGCAATGAGAGAGAGAGACTTTTGGTTTCATGCAAGGAAAGCAGCAGACACAGCAGAAATCTTTCTTTCTCTCCCCCAAGCTCCACCAGAAATGAGTCTTTGTAAGATTTGTCATGCCTCTTGGAGCAGAAAGCCTTGCAGGGTTCTCATTTCTGGTGGAGTTCGGGGGAGAGAAAGAAAGACTTTTGCTGTTTTCCTTGCATGCAGCCAAAAGCAGAAGAAGAAAGAAGTGGAAAAAAGCAGCTGGTTGGCCAGGCCAGGCACATGGGGTGAGTGGGGCAAGTTCCCCCCCTTCCCCCCTTTCCCCCCTCCGCTCACTACCTCATATTGTTTGCAATGCAAGCGAAGCAAGCCTTGTGTTCCCAGGGGCCATGTGGGTGGTGCAGCCTTGTGTTCCCGCGCAGCCTGGATTAATTGCTTTGGGGGGTGCTTTGGGGGTGGACCACCATTTCTCTGTGGACCAGCAAAACTTTCTTGTGGACTACCAGTGGTCCCCAACCCACTGGTTGGTGACCACTGGTCTAGAGTTTAAGAGTTGCAGGCACATGACAAAAATGTAAATTAAATAAAGACTCTACCTTACAAGTATTTCTAAAAGATACGAGGGATTGGTTTCCAGAAACCTTTCATGTAAGTAAGTCTCTGAAAGTCACAATATGCACAGATAGAGCAAAAGGTAGGTATTTAAAAATGTATTATATGACATGGGGAAAGAGGAGGAACCATCATGTAACTATGAATTCTTTTTGTTTCTGTTTAAATTAATTCTAGAAGCATCACTGATGTGCTATTTGTTTCTCCTGAATACAGACCTTAAGTTACCTTAGAAGGCAAGACAATCAAGGGAACTCATTTGTGTAGCAAAATAATAGTAACATAATGTTCCTTCAAAAATATCTCTCCTAAGATTGCACTGTTCCCCATTTAGCTTTCACAATATAAAGTGAAGGTCAACATTTACTATCACTTCCCATGATGTTTTTCCAGTGATACCAACAAGGCAAACCAAACTGATGGACAGGTTTTAGCTATAGAAACTGAAGAATTTAAAGCAGGATTCTGTATCTCCCACCAGTGATGCTTAACAAGTGTATGTATCAGAGTTAGACATCAGCCTCTCTCCTCCACTAGTTCTTTTTCCCATATATATGCCAGCATGTACACGGAGATGACTTGCCGTTGACTACTGGGTCTTACATCATGTTTTCTGAAAGAAAGGAGAAGTGAAAACTTTCCAACTTATTTCCTGACAGCCTAATTGTTTTTTTAAAAAGGAATATGGATGTATTTTCTCTGGGGTATTACATTCAGGACTGCCCTAATTCACCTATTCTTACTTAGCAGATGGAGCAGAGCAGTGTATAGAAAAATGAATGTGCTGCTGCTGACATTTAACAGAGGCAAAATCCTGATAACAATGTTTGTACATAGGGATGATTAAACAGGAAAATCAAGATTGCTCTTTCATTCTTTCCCAATGCTCAGAGCTGTAATTTCATTTGACTTGTCAGAGTGTCAGGCAAGCACGTCTTCCTTTTAACCTATTTCAAACTAAAACAATTTAACCTCTGTTCATCTAGATCTGTTAATCCCACAGGGGAAATGATACAAAGCCCACAGCAGGCAATCGGCACTGAGCTGGGAATGTTCAGGTCACTTCCCTGCCAGAGGCAAGAGGATCTACAAAGTCCATGGACCAAACTGTAGCAGAGTTAGTCATCAAGGGGGTAAATAAGTGATTCAGTGAAGCTTCATGAAAAAAACAGGAACATCCATTAAATGATAACCAATGTGCATACCATGAAAAGAACATAGTGCAATGAATGGCATGCTATCATTTGGGAAGATGTTTGAAAGAGGTCCTAATTTACCTTTCTTCTTATTTATAAAATGTGACATTTTTGTGACAAGCAACTTGTCATCTATTTTTTGCAGTTTCTAATGATAGTTATATTAACAGTGCAATGTCTCAGGATTCTCTTTCACATTCCTTCCAGCAGCCTTCTTCCAAATTGCTGCCCTTCTGATATGTCCTTCGAGGTCTGTAGGGGGTGTGCATAAGCGCATCAACGTGCCTACCGTCCCTGTCCTATTGTTTCTTTTTATTTTTCTTATATGTATCCATTTCATGTATTCATAACTATGTTTATACTTATACCTGTTATCTTATAATCGTTTGACAAAATAAAATAAATAAATAAATAAAATATGTCTGAATTTCAATTCCAATCATCCTGGCCAGTCATTAACATGGCAACTGGGATGATAAGAATTAAGGTCCAATCTATCGGGGGGGGGGGAATGTCTTCTCTCTAATTTATAAATTTGATTCCCAGATTCTGAAAACTGTTAACAAAGTTAACTATTAACAAAGATCACTGGCTTTATATTTATAGTACTTGTATCTGTTCTTGTTCTCATAAATCTTCAGCAATTACCTAGCCTATTTTATTATAGGAAGAGAGTTATGTTACTGTAGCCAACAGAAGTCTGCTAGCCCTTTTCTAATTAATAAATTTTATTAAAATGCAGACGCTTTCATTAATTATTGCTCAGTTCATCAGATGTACCAATTGTTCATGGTTTGGCATTGATTAATTGATTATCAATCTCTGCTATTCACCTGTTCTTATCTTGGGTGATAGAAAAATATACTGACATGAATTTGGCTGTTCCCCATTTTCCTGCCTTTATAATACTGAATCAATGTCAAATGCTGCTGTGCTGATTATGCATGTGCAATATGTTAAAAACACAATAGTTGGCAAAATATAACAGATTTTACACACATTATAGCTGTTGGGAGTGGGGCGGGGAATAGAGATATTAATAGGATTGACTTAAGCCTATCACACTCATGCATTAGACATAGGATAAAGGCAAATCATTGAAACATAGCCAAAATGGTATCAGCACCCAATTAAAGCATCAAACTTAACCAAGATGGTTTGTCCAGTATTTCACTTTGGTTTTTTTAAATGCTTGTTTAGTACCTATATTTCAGAAGGAAATACTTTTAAGTACTTAATTGCTCTTTCTTTTTAAATGATTATGTGCCATCAAATGGTTGTCTTAGCAACTACACAGATATAGCACTTTTTTTTTCATGATAAGCTGTATCTAACCTGGTCTTTCAGGTCACCCAATGGAATACCTATTGCTCCTGTAGCTGAGCCTCTCCACCTTGCTACTTGTTCTTTATGACTGTTTTATTCAATTGCAAGTCAGCAAAACTTGTCAAGTGTGCTTCCTGATAGAGAGGAGATAGCATTGTGATAAAAAAAGACTGCTTTCTCCAAAATAGTGTTGAAGAAGGGAAAGAGCTCACGGGAGCAAATTTGGTCTGAATCACAACTCAGTACAGTAGTAATTTAATCAGCTATCAAAACACATGATATAAGAGGAGATGACCAATTTTTCTCAGGTGAAGCATGTGTGGCAACTTGTAAAGAGTAGAATAATGTGGGTGCATGGTGCATCTGTATGTGAAATGCTATCTGTAGAAATTGTATAATTTTTTTCCTACAGGCACTGAATTCCTTCGAAAAATGCATCAGTACAAAACCATGCTGAATCATGTTGATGAGCAAAAGCGAACCACAAGCTTACAGTCACCTCAGAGGGATTGACCCAAAGCCAACCTGAAACAATACTGAACAAGAATGGACCTGCCTCCACTATCAAAAGCTGCAGTCTCCTTATACTCTCTCTCTCTCTCTCTCTCTCTCTGTGTGTGTGTGTGTGTGTGTGTGTGTGTGTGTAATATATATATTTTCAATCTGTCTTACTGGCTTATAAATGTGTAAATAAACTTTCCCCACAAACCTGCCTGGGAACAACAAGACTTCAAAGGTGATGACTAAGATGTTAATGCAGCAATGTAACAAGCAGTGACTTGGAGAATGTAGCCAAGATGCTAAAGCTGTTTTGTTCTGGATGGGATATGTCATTCTTGACATGCAAAAAGAAAAATAATATCTGGACTTTTGAAAATGTAATGCCATAAGCCATGAAAAAACTACTGCCTGTGGCTCCAGCCTTATCCAACATTAAAGATACTAGATGTGTTGGACTACAGCTCCAACTAGGCAGCATTGCCAATTATTGTGCTTACTAGATTGAAATGCTGGAATACAAAGGTTTTAGAATACATGGACTATAAGAAACAACTTTAGCAACATTCCCTTGAGTAAAATCACAAAAGTCACATTTCTTTTAACCCAGGAAAAAACAGGAGCTTGAAAACTAGGAAGAAAATAAATATGAGGACTCACCCGCCTAAGGAGTTAGACATTGCAACAACCGCTCAATATAGATTTGTTATAAGGTTTGTCCTTTAACACACACATGTCCCAGCATACAGTAGTGCTGCCAACTTTTCTGTTTCTTTTCATATGAGCCAATATTAGAGACTGGAGATGCGTTGGAACTTGCTACAGGTACACCACATACAAAGAGAACTCAAAGTGCACTTCAAGGAGAATTCACATTAGCTTAGACAGGAAGGACCTCAGTTCTACAACTTATCAATTACTCAAATGCAACTTCAGTTCCTGTCCAGCATTAATACTATTATTCATTTCCAGGTTTGCTATCAATAAAAACATATTGGATGTTTGTGCACTTCAAGCACATGAATCTAGGATACAAAGAGTAATGATACTTTGGACATCCATCTAGTAAGGGGGAAAGAGCAAAATTTTAAATAACTCTCCTGATTCCTATGGTAAATCTTTGTTTAACAGAGAATCCTATTTGGACAGGCAAATGATGAAATGCAGCTGGAGATAGTAGTCTCCGGTGTATTTTCTTCTCAATATTAAAAATATGAATATCATGTTGCCACTCAACATTATACTGCTTCATTTAACCCATATTTGTGCAGCTTTCTTACAAAGAGAGAAGATCCATTTCTTTGGAATTCCATGTGACATGCAATTCACTATAAGCTTTAGCACAGTGGAATTTCCTTCAGTACAACTTTCTGTAGTATATATTCCATATAATTCCATAGACTGTGGTTCTGAGGAAACAGCAAGCTATTTGTGACAAAAATAATGAACTGTCTGATCAAGCCACAAAAAATCAAAATTTCTACTCTATAACTATTCACGTGTATATATTGTAAACAGTATCCTGATGCCTTGCTCTAGGTTAAAATGAATTTGCTCTAGGTTAAAATTAAACTTGCTGTTTAACCTGTTGTGTGAATTTAGCAAGTATATTTATTTTGTATCTCAGTGGATTGTGTAAAGATTAGCAGTTGGTTCAATTCAGTAAATATTATTCATTTGGCTTTGGATTAGTATGTTGTACAAATAAAACTATAATGATTTCTCATTCTAAAACAAGAAAATGTATTTTTTTAAAAACTCTCAGAATTGTACAGCACTGGGGCATTCTATTAACTTCATTATGACCCTTGCTACATAATGTGGAGTGACTTAATGCTGTCATTTTGATCTAGTTCTTCTTCAAATAAAAACAAGAGAGTAGAATGTGTGTATTTTTCCCATTCACTAGAATTAATTTTGAATCCTTGTAATGGTAGTTTATATGATAATACTTTTAAGTATGTCATAGACTATATTTACATTTTTTTTAAAGACAGGCAAGATGCACATGTTTTTTGATGCACGGGCAAGATGCACATGTTTTTTGTAAAACTCACTTTTTATCTTTATTTAAAGAGACATCTACATGTACACATCAACTCTATGTCACTTTCCTAGGAATAAGTCCTATTTTGCTTTATCTTTTTTTTCCAGACCAATGCTTTAAACTAGTACATGAACAAGATTAAGATAAATATATTTAAATCATTCCTTATATGCAAGCTTTTTCTGATTAGCATCTCCCCCCTTAGTTAAAAAATTGCTAATCCCAAATCTCTTATTTTTCTTTTTAAAGCAGAAAAAATTAAAATTAAAATAAAAGTGGCATTTAAAAAGTCATATTTCAGAAATGCCATGAACATAAAACATTGAGACTTCTCTCCTGAGTAACATCAAGAGTCAGTTTTGTCTCAAAAGGTTTAGAAATACAAAGCAAAAACTGCAACAATAGAGTATATCTGAGCTTTTAACTAAAATAGGTCAGCAAACCAGGAAAGATATTGAAAACTTTACAGATTTTATATTAATACCTAGTTACCTCAAAATCTTAAGAGCTAAGAAACTCAGCAAGATCATACTAGCCAGGAAAATATTTGATCCCCAAACCAGTAGCTGCATCTTAAAGCCAGAATAGCGTATACTATAAAGAATGCTAAAACACTAGGCAAAATGAAGAAAATGGAAATATACATACTCAGCTTGATGAGTTATTGAAATATCAGCTGTATTTGAATAAACAAAGTAATTTAGTAAACTTTCTGGTTGAAACAGGTATGTCAGTCCCTCCTAATTAACATTAATTAACGATATCTCTGGGCTACTAAAAGCCTGTATAAAATTGCTTTAGGATCTGCTTACAAACTTAGGAAGAACCTCATAAACCATATTTCTGCTTTGCATTTTCAAAGGGAATCTCCATAGTTCACTACAGAAATATCCAATACAAAAATATTCCATTCTAGTGTTCATGAAAGACTGCAGGTAGATGTGTGTGCAAAATCCGCACGTACACACACACACATATACATACACACACATCAATTTTCCTTATAATTATTCAGTATTAGCATTGAAAGTCTGAACCCAGGTTCAGACATTACACTAAGGAATAATAAGGTTTCCTTTTTTATAATTTAGTGCAATGTGTAAGTACATTGTGTTACATAATCTTGGCTTAAGGCTATCTCCAAGACACCATTCTAAACATCCTCACAATTCTGCTAGTTGTTTATTTGTCTGCTATTACCTACCTGCAATGCAATAAGTAAATGTGTTTAGTCACTCTTAAGATTTCCAGTGGCTGAAAATGTTAAAAACCTTAATCAGAATGAAATAATATTTATCAATATTTAAGACTCAATTTGACTTATATTTGGCAACTTCAAAAATGGGATTCCATAAAAGTGAAGCAGGTTTTGCAATATACAAGATGTAACATACAGAAACTAATTTCTGGCATGCTTGGTTCTATGAAGCAGGCAGGGCCTTTTCAAAAGGGAGGAATAACAAAAGCATCTCTTTCATGCATGAAGGGGGCCTCAACTAAAGTATAATTCAATTTTTGGAAATTTAACATATTTTGTTTTATTTTCCAGTTGTTTTTGTTTTGGTAGTGGTTAGTTGTTGGTTTTGTTTTTTGTTTTTTTGCATTGGGGAAAAAAAGAATTATTTCACCATTTCTTGATTACTAGGCTACTGACTTCAATAGCTTCCAAGCCCCAATATAATGAATTGTATACAGGTAGTCCTCATTTAACAATTGGTCATTTAATGATCGTTTAAAATTATCAGACCCACCCAAAAAGCTATTTATTAGTCAGTTTCCTAGTTCCAATTGCTGTACACAGACACCCCATGGTCATATGACTCATTTAGGGCACTTGGCAACTGACTCACTGCTCCTATAGGAATACATAGGTTTACTTAATGACCACAGCATTTAATGATTACTGCAGTCAATTAATGACTGTGGCACTGGCTGAATGACCACTGCAAAAGAAGTAATAAAACTGGGTCTAATCATGTGGATGCCACAACTTAGGACTGTCATGATTTATGATGGAAATTTCAGGGTCCATTATGGTCATAAGTGGAAGGGTACCTATAGGGATAAAAAAATGGAGAGGAATGATTAAATACACATACTGTCCCAAGCTCAAGAGTTATAAAAATGTGCTGCTACAAAACATAGAAAAATAGATCAAGAATGAGTGAGCTTGTGCTCACTGAGATGGGCTTATTCCCTAATTAGGCTACCCAAGACTTTAATTTCAACTTCCTACTAGGTAACTATAATAAAAAATCCACACAAAAGAAGGTCTACACTTTATTTTCAACAACTCCATTTTGTTGGTTCCTTAATACAGTATTTATGAAAGCCACACAAGGACCACGTTACAAGCTTCAGTTGCATGAATACCGGCATAGCTGAAGTTTAGACATCTTAGAAAATATGATGGCAGTTAGATTGTTTTGACAGAACTAATGTAGATGTAAGTGGTGACTGATTTTTTTTTCTAGGAGAAGAAACAAAATAAATGTTGTTGCTTCAAGGCCCACAGAGACTTTTAAATACAAAAACAGAAGAGCAGGTCTCATTTAAGGAACTATATCTCAACATTTGGTGTGTGTGTGTGTGTGTGTGTGTGTGTGTGTGTGACGAATACAATAGAGAAGCCTGATGATGGCAGATGAGATTTTGCCGAAACATTGCTACAACTTTAAAAGCACAACTATAATGACATGGGTGTGTGTGTGTGTGTGTGTGTGTGTGTGTGTGTGTATTAAATAGAATGAAAACCAAATGTCTTGTTTCAATCTAAATTACATACATGCTACAGGCTGCCTGAAATAAAGCAATTATAGACGTGGACTTTTTAATTGCTTTCCCTATACTGGGTCAATGATTTTCTGTTGAAATGCAGGGTTATAAGGCACATTTTGTACTAAAAAAGGGAAATACGCAGTTACGATGTAGAAGAATACACATTTGTGTAAGACTGCATTCCTTTGCATACTTATCTGGGAGAAAGGCTTGTTGAATATAGTGTGGCCAATTTCTGAGCAGACGTATAAGATTTTGCTGTTTCAGCTTAACCAAGCTGTGTACAATTGTGTTTTTATAACCTAAGAACAAATTCCACACAGCAAGATAAAATTCAATATAACAAAGATAATTGTACAACAAATAAACTATAGACATAAACTGTTCTCATACCGTCTGCCAATTTCATCTCATTTTCTTTGTATTCTCAATCTAGTTTACTAATTAAACTTACTTTAATTTGGAATCAGATCCAAGACTGACAGAGTGTTTTAACACGCCTGTTCAACCTGGATATTTCTCCTACCTTTAACAGCAAGCAAGACTGTGGCAGCTTACTTTATCATAAGAATTAGTTGCTAGATATGATCCAGCAGCAGTTTAATATCTTATTGTCATCATGTGGATGTTACTTCATGGAAAGCTTCTTTACCAGCCAGCCTTAAGCCTACTTCGTGTGAATCTGTCACCCAAAGATTCAACGTAAACAAAACAAAAAAATCAGTGAACCACTTTGCTTAGCAGGTGAAAAGCTGACATAAAACATATTTAATCTAGCAAATCTAAGCTTCAGAATTGTCTGCTGCCGGTGATGTATGCATACCCTGTGTCACTGACCTTGGGAGAGACCACTCCCATTCAATTGGTTTCCACTGTAGAAGTTCTTTGTTTTCTTTGTCTGACTTTTTGAAGGTTTTCCCTGATCTCTTTTGTAGTTCTTATCACTGTTCTCTCCAGGCACCAAAATGACTTTAACAATACTCCCCTCCAGATGGGATTTCTCTAAATCAGAAGCTAAAGTACTTTAGGAAATCCCTTTCCATAGACAAAACACTTTCCAAAGCAGGATTCTAAGCCTTTTGTCCTGAACAAAGTATTTCTGATTTGTAATGGAAGGGCGGGAGTGTTGTGTTGAGGCAAATATAGCCTGTTTTAGTCCACTAAAGCTAGCAGTTCAGCCACATCCCAAACCAACAAATAAATAAAAGTTGCACAACCAGCCGTTACTGCTTGTTCACTAAACTTTTATTCTCTCAAACTCACAGGGAGTTCAAATTTCAAAAACTAGACTCGATGCCATACAGTATTGATAGGAATTAAGAAGACAACAGCAAGAGAAATAAATCATAAAGTAATCCAGCATGCAACTCTGCACGCTCTGCCTCAAAGATTTAATTTATTCTATTGATTTCAATAGATTTTAACCATGTGTTATTGAGCAGAAGACTGCTTTCATCCTTTAGTTTTACAAAGACTTTTTTGAATTTTCTATGTTTATATATCTATGTCTGTAATCTTAGACATATTTGCTTTGGACTAAGCCTTAGAATTTTATTTTGAATGAAGAACTTTTTTCTTTTGAAAGAATAAGAACATGAATGTGCTGCAAACATTTTTCTTTTGGCTTCTGAGAGTTCAAGAAAATAATTCCTCCATAGAGAATAGTACTGATTACTAAGAAGTCAAAGTGCTCCCCTGAAAGTAGAAGAAATAATCCGGTCAGTATGCACTCTTCCAAAAAGATGCAATGCTAGGCCAAATGGGGTCAAGAAATTTATTTCAGTACAATTCATTTAATTCTCTAAGATATATCAATTACTTTATTCTACTGTATAGTGCAATATTAATGCAATATCAGGGGTTTTTCAAGTCAATGTATAAAATGTGAAGGATGTGTCATAATGTACACTGAAGATGGTATTTAATTTCGTTGTATGAGGTGCAATGACAATAAAGTAAACTAAACTAAACTATAGCCACCAGGATTCTATAACTTCAGCACAACAGCAAATTACCTCTAAGCTCCTCAAAAATCAATAGGCTTCAGTTTACTCAAACATGTGTTGGAAGGGGAAAACTAGGTATCTGTTATTTTTGATAGACAGTAAGGGCTTTCTTGCTGACCTGCATCAAGCTTGAGATTACTATCATTGGTGCCTTTATAAATATGATATTCTTCCACCACTTTTTAACATTTATCACAGAATCAGAAATATTGTTTTTAAAAATGCAACTTTGGTGCTTAACCATGTTTTTCCTTCTCTCTCCTCTCTTTTCCTTTTTTGTCATGTCTCTTAAATGGTTCTTGCCTTCAACCTTACAAATTCACTACTGATCATTGTTTGGATTTGGGATAAATATTTAAAATAGAGACTCTTCAAAGAAGAGAAGATAGTATAAATGCTATACAGGAGAGATTTTAGTCATGCAGCATTACACAATGAAAATATTTTATTTTTATTTGAAAGGTTAAACTTAAAGGAACACTGAAGAGGGGTTAAAATATATATACTTTAGTTTTAAAGCATTGATTATATGGAAAGAAACAATTATGCATTACTGTCAGAATTCAGACATTTTGAGTATACTATTTGCAGCTTTCAGTCACCTAATCCACTATTGTTTGCACAACACAAATGATTTTAATCAAGAGGAAAAAATAGAAATATGCATGTAGTTTATATAGGACTGAGTATATATAAGAATGTCCAAAGGCATGGTAAAGTAAGTCAAAATGGTGGTTTTGCCTGTGTTTTAATGTGCGATTTTTTTTTTACCATAACTCTGCAGACATCACTGTGTTCATCTTTTTTAAATGTATTCATCTTTTTGTCAGAAAAAATAAACCCTTATCACTCATTTCACTTAAACCCATGTATACCATGATTGCTTAATACTGTATCCAATAATTAATTACCTATTCCATAGAGTCTAATAAAGTATGTAAATGGCCACAATCAGTAAAGTTTAATCCTTGTCTTTGTTTAATTGTTACTCCATCTTTTCTCCAAAGATTCCCCCACAAAATTATCTTCATTTTCTATTCATGAAAATACTATGAAGTAAGCTATCTATCTATATTCCTTTATTATTAATTAATTATACTGGTCAATAGATATGTTTTCTGGGCAGCTTACAATACAATAAAATTATAAGAATACATTGCAGCATTTAAAAACATCAGTAGGAAAAAATAACAACAATCACCTCAAACTTTCAAGCAGCACTATTGATATAATATATCAAACTTTTAAAAAAATATGTTCACTTGATGCTTGGAGTTGTACAGAAAAGAAATATTATTTCCCTAATAGCTTCTACCTAGATCTTAGTGGAAAAATCCAGAGAAAGTATTTGAAGTCTTATTTCTGGATTTTAGTAGAAATTGTAGCAAATAGAATAGGCTAAAAAAAACTGTAAGAGACAACCTTAAACTATCTACTATTGACCTCACCCAATTTCTAAGTGATCTATAAGGGGCATGCATAAGTGCACAATCATACCTACCGTCCCTGTCCTATTGTCCCCATTTATTCGTACCTATTTTCTATATTCATACTCATGTTTACTCTTATACCTATTATCTTGTAAGCGATAGACAAATAAAATAAATAAAATTTAAAAAATCATTTATTGGGCTTCATAGCAGAGATAGCTCCAAACCAATGCTAGCTATTGTACAATGTTAAATTGTATTTCTATATATTATAATCATATTTCAGTTTTAATTTTATTAATCAATTTAATTATTATTTTATTTTGACAATATTTGTTCATCTACAACAAATTTCCCAACCTTAGCAAATTTAAATGTGCAGTTCAAGTCCACAACTCTTAAACTTGCCAACACCGAGAAACATTGATCTGCTCTACACTATAATTTATCTCTGGAACTCACTTGGAAAAAATTCTGCTAGATTTATTTTCGAAGTACTCATAATTCTTGATGTGGTTAAGTTCAACTGTTAAGATAATTTTATTTAAATAAAGTGCATATTCCATAGAACACATCTTTACGGAGCCTGTTTCACACTGGCTTGTTGTCAAAAAAATCTCATATCCTCATAGACCACAGGGTAATGAAGTCTTACGGTAACCTCAACTCTAAATCTGAAATGCTAAAAATGCTCCATAGAACATAAATATGGAAAATTATTCAATCAAATTGCCTTGGACTGGTATGTGGGGCATTGCAATCCAAACAGAAGGCACTATATAAAAACATTTTTATTTCATTTAAGGTAAAAACGTATTTATTTGATTATCTGCAGTTATTA